AGATTGCTTGCAAAAATGTGTACATTGGTCAACATTATATGCAAAAATCTGCTTATTAGGAGAAATTCTCACTGAAAAGCTGATCATTTTCATAAGGCTGTTTTTAAAAAGGCAAACTGCAGCAAATTGCTGCAGAAATGTGGAGAATGGAATATGAGGCTGAAGAAATGAAAAACCAAAACAGACAGATTCTTCTATCCCTAACTGCAGCCCTGCTGCCTGAAAAACCTTGGATACGATCTACCAGGGACTGGCTCTCAGATCGTTTACTTGCATTGAGCCACAGACATCTCCCAATGCACGTTCATTTTTTGGTTGTTTCAAGTGAGGCAAATTTGGCTCTCCTCGTGGGTAGGTAAGATTCCTTGGGAAGATGCATTTGGTGTTGCATTTCCCCAGTCACATATACAACAAAATTCATCCTACTTAATGCCAGCAAGATGCTAATCAGGCCCAGTATTTTTAAAAGAGTCTTAAATTGCCTGTAAAATAAAATACAGCGATCTGTGTAAATATGTGAGCCTACTGGAAGTTTATAAACACTTCTCTAATAAGCTCTCTGCAACATGCACCAAAAACAAAGAAAATAAAAGCAGCTCTTTAATGCAGCTTTGAGCCTGATTTAAAAATGTTAATTTGCCCTAGTTTTATTCATCTCCCCCAACTTAATATGCATGCCTTAATTATTCAGAGAGCTGAATAGCTATAAAAATGTGGGCAGATCATTCAGTGGTTATTATGAGTTACTTTTTATTACTTCCTCAGTAGCAACAAACTTCATCTGATAACCACAATTACATCAATATTAGCACCATAGCTTACTTACTATAATTATAGTAACTTCTAAGCAGCCTGCATAGGAAGGAATGAGCGGTGGTGTTTCTCTGCATTGTCATCTTCAATGAAATGATGCTCGTGTTACATAATCCAAGAGACACTACTTGCTTTTCAGGTGGGCGCAATGTTGTGTCTCCATTACAGATAACTCATTAAAAAATAATCCAGCAAAGCAGACCAAAGACTGCAAGGGTCACTTTAGTGCATAACAGAACCAGATGCCGCAGTCAAAATTGTAAATGGTCGTTTCTGATCAATATGTGGTCCTTTACCTCATCCATTTGCTGCAAAAAATCAGTTTTGGGGGTATGAATAGCAACTTTTGGGGATAGGGTGCCAAAAAACATCACAAGCAGGAAGGGTTATTGAAAAAATACTCTGTGCTACAATCCTAATCTGGGTTGGAGGGCCTCTCGCTCCTGCCCTTGACAAATGCATGGGGAACCCAAACTGCCATTTAATTATGTCAATAGGCAAAAATTTCAACAGGCCTTACTTGTAAGTAAGCAAGCAAGCGAGTCAAGCACTGAACATACCAAGCTGCCTTTTACAGAGTCAGATCATTTGTCTGTCTGAACCGGTAGTGTCTACTATAGGGTTTTTTACCCCCACAGTGTGTACTTAATGAGGCTACCCAGTCAGATGGGTTGGATACTATTATTATTATTATTATTATTATTATTATTATTATTATTATTTGCCCAATTTGACCCTGAATCCTCTACGGATGTCCTGCCCTTCCTTTGAATTGGCAGTGCACAGTTAAATTAAGACATTCACTCTCACAAGATGTAGCAATGACTGCCAACTTGGATATACAGTGGTACCTTGGGTTAAGAATTCGTTCTGGAGGTCCGTTCTTAACCTGAAACTGTTCTTAACCTGAGACACCACTTTAGCTAATAGGGCCTCCCGCTGCTGCTGGAGCATGATTTCTGTTCTCATCCTGAAGCAAAGTTCTTTACCCGAGGTACTATTTGGGTTAGCGGAGTCTGTAAACTGAAGCGTCTGTAACCCGAGGTACCACTGTATTTAAAAGAGAATAAGACAGATTCAAGAAGGAGAGGGCTACCAACAGTTACTAGCTACAATGGCTGCATTCTACCTCCACTGTCTTTGAATACCAGTTTGAATCACAGGAGGGGAGAATGCTGTTGTGCTCAGATTCTGGTTTTGGGCTTCCCATAGACACCTGAGAGAACAGTGTGCTTTTGGCCTGATTCAGCCTGTTGATGTGTTCATATGATCCTGCTCATTTCTACATACTAGCCACTGCCATGGCCATAAAGGGCTCAAAAGACTTGGCATTTGCCGCTGCCTTCTTCTTCCAAAGCCATGCAGATCTATTCATACGTGAAAGCTGTAAGGCAAGCATGCAGCTACCTGGCCATTATGCTATTGCGGAGGGGGGAGGGTGTGAATTATACTTGTATAGTTCATTCCAATCCATTAGGTGCAGAAGAGAAAGGACATTTATAATCTGCACGGCTGACAACGCAAAGAAGTATATACATGTTAGTTTTAAGAATAAATGTGACAGCTAAGGCGTTCATTGCCCTGACAGATTATTGAGAATGACTACCTGCACTAAAAGCAGCAGACTGGAAAATATATTTTCAAAGGATTTCACTTTGGGATGCATCAGATATATATGTAAGGAGAAAGGCTCCTGGGCAGACCTCTTTAGGGTATTGTAAAAGAGCTCTTGTGAGTTCTCTGCTATTATATATTGTAATCATGTTATTACCTGAACAATGAATGAAAGCACTTTACAATTCCAGAGAGACACACATTGCTAAAAGTGTTGATCGGTTGGATTCCCATCAAGCTAGAGGAATGGAGGCTGGTGTGCCTACTCTGTGTAGTTCACCCTATGAGCAGCAGAGGCGCCAACTTGCGCACAAGATCAAGGGGGCCCAGCACACGAAGCACATGTGTGACGTCATGTTTGCATCATGTGTGCGATCATTGCGTGTGTGATCATGCACATGTGTGACGTCATGTCACACCCAACATTGCATCGTTGAGAGGAGGCTGCGTGCAGAGTCCAGCGTGGCACAGCTTCAATGCCTGGGGTTCCTCCTCTCTCGCACTCAGGTGGAGCCACCCATTGAAGTCGTGCCATGCTCAACTTTGTGCTCAGCCTCCTCCACCCCCTTAACATTGAGGGGCCTCAGCAGCCTACCAACAGATATTGAGGGGGCCAAGACACCTCAGCCCCATAGAATTGGCACACCTGATGAACAGGCTAAGCATAGATCAGCATAGTTTGTGTGCGGATCCTGCTAGGTCAAATAATAATAATAATAATAATAATAATAATAATAACAACAACAACTTATTATTTATACCCCGCCCATCTGGCTGGGCTTCCCCAGCCACTCTGGGCGGCTTCCAACAAAATATTAAAATACAGTAATGCATCAAACATTAAAAGCTTTCCTAAACAGGGCTGCCTTCAGATGTCTTCTAAAAGCCTGGTAGTTGTTGTTCTCTTTGACATCTGATGGGAGGGCATTCCACAGGGCGGGTGCCACCACCGAGAAGGCCCTCTGCCTGGTTCCCTGTAACTTGGCTTCTCACAGCGAGGGAACCACCAGATGGCCCTTGGTGCTGGACCTCAGTGTCCGGGTAGATTGATGGGGGTGGAGACACTCCTTCAGATATACTGGACCGACAAGACACACAAGGTGAGGTCCTCAGGAAGTCCTCCACCTGTGCTCAAAAAATATGGGAGAGGGGCTCACAGGATGATGTGTACTAGGCATCCACTGCCCATCTGCATGTTTGGTGCACATTGTAAGAGGTTCTATACGTACACACAGAGAGCTTCGCCATGTGAGAAGGGCCAGGATCTTCCCTTGCAAGGAGGTGTTCTGTGTTGTAGGGGGTGTACACAGGGCAGAGATTAAGTCTGGATCCCTGCTTCAGAAAAGAGTGAAATTTGGTCTAATGTGCTTTGGAGCCCATCCAGTTTGGCACAAGGCCCAACTTCAAAGCCTAATTCAGAAATATTAAGCTTTCACTATTATAGAGAAATTTAAATATGGCTATAATTCCATCCACATTTATTTATTTTTTTGACAGAGCTTGATGGAATTTACAGGCACATTAACCACTTCAGAGTTGATAAATTCTGCCAAATTACAGAAAAATAGGCCCAGGGGGTTTATGCTGATTACCATTGTGGGGCTCAGCACTGGATGAACTGTGCAGACAAGGTAACCCCTTCTGAAGAAATGGATTCTGCCAAATTTCAGGAGGGTACCTGCAGCAGTATATATGGAATGAAGAAATCCTGCAGGTAAACTGGGGCCGAGCTGTGAGGGGCTTTATATTCTAATCATAACTTGGATTTAAATATGCACTGGGTTAAGGAGTATTCTGATTCTGAAAAGGGGCCAGAGATTACATTTTAGTAACCGCTCTGTATGTACCATTACTTATTCTGCCTATACGTCTTGCCCATCCAGGGCTGCTTGGGCTTGGGCTTTGTTTTTAAAATAGCATGTAGCTTAAGCTTCAGTGTGTGTGTGTGTGTGTGTGTGTGTGTGTGTGTGTGTGTGTGTGATTCTTTCAAGAGAGCTTCAGGCAATGACCTAATGATTTTTCTCATGCCGTAACCAATGATTAATGTTCAGTTTACATTCTGCAGCAGAATTGTCTTAGACCAAGCAACACTAATTGGATGCCTGGTTAAGGACTAGCTAGAAAAGCTGCGAAATTGCAGACCTCTCGACATTTTCTTAGGTTTCCAATTTAGGAATGATACGTGCCATACCAAGTGTCCAAACGGCCCCCACTGCTGAGATCTTGATTGTACTCCTGTCAAGGGTTTGAAACATTTTAAATTGGATTCTTAGAAGAGCTGCTATAAAAACATGGAGTGTGCCAAAGGTTCACAGTACGGTAGCATGCCTTGGGGGTACCCAGTCCCTCTCCAGATGTAGATCTGTCTCAAAAAATTGCCCAGAGCAACAGTTTGATATGCTAATATGCTGCAGATCATGGTGCTTCTGTTGCCCCCCGTTGCTGCCACTGGAACATAGGAAGCTGCCTTGCACTCAACCAGTCATTTTGGTCCATCTAGCTCTGTATTCATGTCTGCACTCACAGTCAGTGGCCCTTCAGGGTTTCAGACAGGAATCTCTCCCAGCCTTACCTGGAGATGCCAGGAATTGAACCTATGTCCTTCTGAATTCCAAAGCAGATGGTCTACCATCAACCTGCAGCACTTCCCACTAAGCTGATCTGGAGGGAAGAGCTGACAGCCCTTTGCCGAATCGGCACACAGTCCTGAGTGAACTGCAGTGTAGGCCTTGTATGTTTACTCAGAAGGTAGCCCCACCATGTTCAATAGGACTTGCTCCCAGGTAAGTGCGCCTAAAATTTTGGCTTTAGTCCTCCTGCTCCGTATCCAAGATGGAAAGCTGCTTTTGTAGTTCTTTGGACAAGCTTGAGAAGAAAGTGGGCATTCTGGAAGAAAACTGGAGACTTGAAACAAGGAACAGTAGAGCAGGAGACAGACAGAGAAACCAGAGCAGATTAACTGCATGAGAATACATTCACTGGAAATAAAACAACTTCAGAATTTGCTTGAGGTGATCTGGGATGTGAATTCACATTGGAAACCCATATTAAATTTGGAGGGGAGTAGAACTGGGTTGTTTGTGTTTTCTTTTGCATTTGGATTAGGATCAAATGCCCTTTGAGAAAGTGAAACTTTTAAAGTGAAACTTTAAAAAATAACAACAAGAAACCAGTAGACCAAAAAGAGGGAGAATAAAAATAAAAAAGAACAGCAAAACCGATTATATAACTGTAAATCCTCGGAGGAGTATTTATTGATCTATTTTTACATTTCTGCCTTGCAATGCTCAGCCCAATCAAAGGCTCCCACAATGGTTTGGTTTTTTTCTCAGAGAAAGAAATCATGCAAATAAAATATATGTATACATCTAAAAGCAGTGTCTCTATGATAAGAACTAAGATTTGAAAACAACAAATATAGCACTGTGGCACCCAGCAATATTTCTGTAGTTTCTTCATATTTCCAAGGGGAAAAAGTCCTTTCAGACACAGCTGCCTTGGAGCATCTCCAGTTCAGCAAATGGGAACCTAATTCAGATACAGGTGTGCATTGCTCTCTGTGGAGAGCACCACAATGAAGTTAACGTATTCCTAGACTGTCACCAAAGATGGAAGCCAGTATTGATTTCACACAGCTCCCTCGTCAGTCTAAACAAGCCCTCAGCAAGGCCCGTGTGACAGTTGATAATCCAAATTCTGCCAGGGAATTCCAGAGGAATAATGAAAGAAAAACAAACGCATAGGGCCTCATTTGTGGATGAAGGGAAGGAGTTGTTCCACAAGCAATGGGGAAGGCATTGATAATTACCTCAGAGTCTTTTACAATGAGTCTTAAAAATAAAATAAAGAAGTATCCAGACTGCAAAAGGCTAGGTGTAGTGAACTAGAAAAACAACACAATTGTTGGGGGCGGGTAGGTATTTCCATGATAAAGTTAGGCAGAAAGTGTGAGGATGTTGAGGTTACAGTGCATTTCATGATGGAATTCAATCCATGTGCAATCTCAGAAACAGTAGCATTATACACTCTGTGTCTGTCTGTCTGTGTGTGTGTGTGTGTGTGTGTTCGTTCTCTCTCTCTCTCAATCTGTATAATAATACTGTTCCTGAGATTGCACATGGGAAGAATTCCATGCCGAGATTTGCAATATCACTCCCAAATCACAAAGTATGTGTATATGTTTGCCTTGATACTTTTCTCTAGGCCTTGTTCAAATGGGTGATATTATAATATAGGCTATTCAAAGAACACGAGCAAATTTATGGGAAGTTCAATTCTGGGGGATTTATTCAATCCTAATCACACATAGCATTATTCCAATTCCTACTATTAGTCAGTGTCAAGCCCCATAGCCAGGCAAGGCACTGAAAATAACTACAGACATGGTGAGTAATTCAACTGAAGCCACATCTATTATTATAGAAGTGATGACTGTGTACTCAGCGGGACGAGATGAATAATAAACAGCCCTGGCTAAAGTCTGATTGGCATTAATGGGATCACCTTTCTTTTTGGCGTAATGAAGCGTTCCAGATGGAGCTCTTACATCAATTTCTGAGGCAGTGAATCATCATAGTGGGCCTTTTAGCCTTCGCTGAGGGTATGTGTATCACCTTCAGGTTTCTTGCTCTACCACCATGGTAAGAAAAATGGTGCCCTCCAGACTGCAACTCTCCACAGCCCCAACCGGTATGCAGGGGCGGAGGAAGAGGGGTGCAGTGGGGTGGATCACCCCTGGGTGTCTTCTCTGAGGGGTGTGACATTCGGCACGCCACCCACCCACGATTCCCAAGCCTACCCTGAGCCGTCGGGGGAAGGGGGGAGCTGTGCTGCTTTGCTGGTGGTATTCCTCCCTTCCCCCTTTGTTTGGAAAGCTGGGGGAGGCTTGGGAGTTGCAGGCAGGTGGCGGACCAAATGTCCGCCATCAGTGGCTTGCTCCGCCCCCGTGGGCAGCTCGCTCTGCACCCGTGCAGCTATCCCACACCTGGGAGGGCACCCTCCGCGCCCCTTGGGAGCGCGCCCGCCCTGGGCAGCACAAGCATATCTCTACACCAGGGGTTGTCAACCTGGTCCCTATCACCCACTAGTGGGCATTTCAGGATTCTAGGTGGGTGGTAGGGGGTTCTACGGCACCAGCTGAATCCGCCTTCCATCAAGCACTGGTGGGCGGTAAGGAAATTTTACCATAAAGAAAGATGCATTAGTGAGTGGTAAGTATAAAAAGGTTGACTACCCCTGCTCTACACAAACCCCAAAGATCCCATCCAGAAAATTACTTAAGTGCACGGAATAACCCTCAACATCATTGGGCATTTTCCAGAGCCTGTTTTCATGTTCTCCCTTCAGCCATTAGTAGAGGGCAGATATCATCACATTCCAGTTGAACATCCCCAATGAGCTGGGGTTCGAGTAAGTAGGCTATTTATCAAGCCTTCTAAAGCAATGTCTCAACTGATCACTGGTCATTTCCAAAATATCCTAGGCACTTAAAAACACACACACAAAAAAACCAGATGGAATTTGCTGGAAATTGCACAAATGGCCTCGTTAAGTACAATGTGTCCACCAGCTGTGGCCTAGCATTCATGCAGAAGTTATGCAAATTGTGCCAATCATTCATAAATAAAAGCCTACCGAGTCTATTCCAGACAGTGGCTTCCAGCGCAGCTCTGCAAGTAGCCCATCCTTGGTCTCATCGAGCAGGAGCAGATGTCTAGAGCTTCTCAACTGCTGGAGTGAATGGGAGACGGGGGTGATCTCGCTGCAAGCCCAAAACTATGTCCAGAATGTGGATAATGTATCCATTGACTCCAATGGCTGCTTTTGCGAGAACTGGCAGGAATCAAACTTCAAGATAGATCCATTCTATAAAAAAAGAAAAAGACTGATGGTTTAGCTCTGGCCAGTGTCCATTGCTAACAACCTCTGAGTTCACCCTATAGATTAAGCTGAAGTGTATAAGAGTATGGCTACAGAATTGGATGGTGTGTTGGCTGCGAGCTGCAGAACATTATTCCAAGGGAAATTAAAATGAATTACAGGCTCTGCTGCCAAGAAATAGGGCACATGTTTCTTTTACTGCCTGTGGAAAGTGAAATGTTATCCCCAAAGACTATTGCCAGGATTGTGACACGGAAAGAATGCTGGATATGGACCCAGGATTAATTCCCTGCTTAACCAGGATCATCACTGCATTCACGGGCAAATCAGGTGGCCACCACAGGTGCTGATTCCCTGCAAAGACCTACATGAATTGTTCTGCCCCATGTGCAGGCCCCTGTGGTGTGGGTCGCATCATGCTGAAGTGGTTTGGAGCATTGCCTTCTCCACCTAAATTATCTCATGAGAGATCTCATAAAAGATCTAAATTATTCACAGTAGTATGATAATTAAAAAATATATATTCCCACAGTTTTCCACCATTTCCCACCCAGCCATCCCAAATATTCTGATTTGCAAACAAAAATATGTCAGGGGGGGATATTATATTGAAATGATTGTCATGTTATTAATATCACCAGCTAATTTTCCGTTGAAATTGCCAGACGTGAAAAATGTTCTGTCTAAACATTTAAAAGAAATAAGCGGAAAAGGTTATTTTATATTCTTGATTCTATATTTGGCAGAACTGATGCATTGATTCACAGCTGTACCTGTAGATCGACACATTTCTTGATACTGTGTTTTAAAAATTAGCTAAGACTTCCAGTGTGTTTTGCCACTGATAGCTTTGGTCTTGATTAATATATTTGAGTTTGGCTTGTGTTGTTCAAGATTGTAGCTCCACCTACTGGCTCTGGAAGTAAAGGAAGCTAGCAAAAAGCTAGCGAGAATCTGAGCAGTGACTGGAAATGTCTAAAAGATCAAACACTCATCTCCTTGGGGAGACGCAACTCATGCAGAACGTGCCTTAAACAGATAGTTCCATTGTTTCTTTCTAGCTCCAAAACTGCCCTTCTCTTTGGCAAACAATATTCATTTCTGTACAAACAATAAGATTTTTTGAGGGAGGGAGGGGGAGAAAGGAGAGAGGCATGTGATTCAATCTGCACTTAAAGCGACCTTACATAATTCACACTTCCCAACACAAAAATCACACTTCTCCGAATTTTGCAATGCAGTTCTCCAGTCAAGTAAGGCGTACAAAGATGCATATCGCATATAAATGCACATACCAGTGAAAATAGCTTACAAATTGCTTTGTAAATACATGCATATTAGGGGGGAAATTGTGAGGGTGGGCGGGCAGGGTGACTGTTCTTATGCAATCCCTCTCACGGAGCTCCTCAGAAATGCATCTTAGCACATTTCCCTGTAAACTCACACTTCCAGCATAATCTAACACATGGGTAGGCAAACTAAAGCCCGGGGGCCGGATCCGACCCAATCGCCTTCTCAATCCGGCCCACAGACGGTCCAGGAATCAGTGTGTTTTTACATGAGTAGAATGTGTCCTTTTATTTAAAATGCATCTCTGGGTTATTTGTGGGGCATAGGAATTCATTCATTTTTTTTCTTCAAAATATAGTCCGGCCCCCCACAAGGTCTGACGGACAATGGACCGGCCCACAGTTGAAAAAGTTTGCTGACCCCTGATCTAAGGGATGCTTCAATGTGAAAGTTGCACTATAAAACCAACACTCTGTGCT